TTTTTTTTTTGTCAAATTGTTTCCAAGTTTCTGGCAAACAAAAATAACAGATTGTTTTAATTTTAGCTTTGAAAGAAATTAACACAGTTAATGATTTATTGAATAATCTCACATAATTATAGAAAACTTGTATTTATTAAGAAATCTCTGCCATCAACTTAAGATGGCGTTTTCCCTTCTTAGAATATTTTTATCTAAATATATTTATTTTCAAAATATGAAAGAATCAACATTTTAAACAATAAACATGCAAGATGCTTTCTCTAATACTTATCGGCACTCCCATAAAATTCATTTTTTCCTATCTAGGAACATGTGTTTGTGGTGAATGTTCTTGTCACGACGTTGATCCAACTGGGGATTGGGGAGACATTCACGGGGACACGTGTGAGTGTGACGAAAGAGACTGCAGAGCTGTTTATGATCGATACTCTGATGATTTCTGTTCAGCATAGAACAGAATTCTTGAAATCAAGGCATGAGAAGAGTTTTCACTACTGAGAAAGTAAAATCATGTTTGAAAATTACAACAGTTAGTCTTGAATAAATATTTAAATTAGTCAAGGATACTCTTTATTTATTTACTTATTTTGAGATTGAGTCTTACTCCACAGGCAGATCTGGCTTGGAACTCCTTGTGTAGCCCAGACTGACTTTAAGCTGCAAGCAGTCATTTTGCCTCAGCCTCTTGAATGCTGGGTTATAGGCTGAAGCCATTGCACCCAGCTTGGCATTGCCAATGTTAACTCTACTTCCCTTCACTGTAGACTGGATTTACAGAAACTTTCCTATGACTCTTGTATTTGCTTCTTGTGTGCTCCTCATTAGTTTATTTGACTTAGGAAATATCACTTTCCCCACATTAAAGAAAAGAAACTATACTATGTTGAGATGTCATGATTTATATCAACTGCTGTGTGTTCACCAACTCTGAAGAACACATACAACTTGTATGACTTATGCACTGCTCTGTTTTAATGTCTTCCAAGTTAAGCAATTTTGGCTAATACTGAATTGTTTTGAAAAAATTGAAAAAGGGAACACATATACATATCCAGATGGTTCAGTAGAGTGTGCAATCATCTTAAGCCAGACAGTGTTCTCCCACCTTGACACTTTATGTTCAAGGGCAATGACTTTGATCTCAGAGCCAGCTATACCCATGACATAGTCTTTAACCCATATGGATTTTTAAATGACTTATAGTAATGGCTTTTGAATAACTAAAAGTTAGAGTTTACATGCCTGGACATGAAATTTAAATTTTCAGGAGTTGTCCTCAAGAAATTCATAATGTCAAGTATTGCAATCACATGAGAAATTGTGGTGCAGATCATAGTCTGTCCCCTCCTCTGCTCTGTGGAGGACACAGAAATAACAATGGCAGAAAAAGATAGCATTGTCAAACAATGTAGGAAAAACAAAGCAAAAGTGGGGAAAGCTTAGAGAATTAAAAACTAACTGAATAAAATAGACCTAGTAAGAAACGGAAAGTGAATATGACAGCTTAGTGGCAAAAGTCCCAACATGATTTTTTTTTCTAGGTGAGAATCATATGCAATTTATTAAACAACAATTGAGAGACCATCAACATGACAGTTGGAAATGGCCACCAAACCTTATATTAGTTTAATTCCTCAGACCCATATTAAGGAAGAAAAAAACAGATTTCTTTTTCAGGTTGGCCTCTGACCTCCATGTGTGCTCTGTGGTATACATACCTGCCTCCCTCCGCTTAATAAATATAATTTAAAATATGAATAAAAATAGCATTTAGTCCTCTGAAATTAATCTAATTTCTTTTTTGTAATTGGATCAGATTCTAACTCTAAAATTTTTTCTTAATAACTTATGACCGTCTTTAGACTCTTTTATGCCGCTTTCCCCCACCCAACACAGAGTTGTTCAAGCTCTAGTTGATCTGGAACTCACTTTGAAGATCAAGCTCGCCTTGAACTCAGGGATCTGCTGCCTCTTTCTCTGCCTCCCCAGTTCAGAGATTTATGTTGTGTGCTACCATACTTGGGTCTTCTTTGCTAGTGTCGTCACACAAATGAACTTCAGATAGAAAACAATCATTACAAAATTTAAGCATGTGTTCTGACTTGACAATGTTAAATGCAGCCCTGGTTTTCTTTCTGCACCTGTCTCCAAGGTTTTTACTTCTCTTTGCCCTCTCTGGGTTGGATATGATCTTTCTCTTTGTGTGATGGGGGGAAGACTCTCCCTGACTGAGAATTCCTGTGGGTCACATCAGTAGGTGGCACCTTCTTGGGTAAGTTATGGATTTAAGGGCATTCTCATCTACTAGATTCTTGCTCAGATATTTACAGTTTTAAAACTTTTCCTCCTTTAATCTAACTATTCCTTTGAGTTTATTGCTAAGATTGTCAACTAGTCTACAGTGGCTGTATGTCCTGTACTGTGTCCTTACATATCTAATAGTCCCTGAACTGAATCTTTTGTTTGTGCCCAAGTATTTTAAAGCCACTTGCTCATGTAAAATAACAGAATGAATTTTACTTTAAATGTTAAAGCTTTTTTGTTTAAAATATAATTACTTATACATACACTTCTGATTGTCCTTATTTTCAGGAGGGCAGAGAAAAAGGATGGTGTTCTAGTTTCATTAGGTTGCTCTGACAAATGTTCTGACCAAAGAAACTTAAGGGTAGGAAGGACTTGTCTGGTTTACACTTCCGGGTCACAGTCCACCATTGAGGGGAATCATGGCAGTAATTCAAACAGGAACTTGGAATAGAAATCATAGAGGAAGGTTTCTTGCTAGTTCTCTCACAGACCCACATTTAGCTATCTTTCTAATTTGGCTAAGGACTACTTTGCCAAGGGTACAGTGCTGCCAACAGTAGGGTGTGACCTCCTATATCAATTAAAAATCAAGACAGTACCTCACAGACTTGACCATGAGCCAATCTGTTTAGAGAATCCTTCATTTCAGAGTTCTTTCATAGGTGACCCTAGGCTTAGTAGTATTCCGAGTTAAAACTAATAACTAAAACTAATTAGTTAATAACTAAAATTTCTTAAGCTGTGATAAACTGCAAAAAATGCCACAGAATTAAATGATGTATGAAATGTAGCCTTTAAGAAGCACAAAAATTATATGTAAAATTCTCATATTAGAAGATCTAAATAGCCATGCTCACACGTCATAAGTATTTGTCAATAATACATATTTTCCATTATAGAGATTAGTAATGAAGCACCTTGCTGAATAGATTACCTTGTAACAGGGACTCAAGAAATATTCACTGAATTCAACTTATCACTTAAAATATTTACATTTGATGATCATTATTATACCATTTCACTCTGACCCATAAAATTATCATTGGACCAACACAGTATACGGTAAAGCAATTACTACTACAATAACAGAAATAACAACAACAAAAGCCAACAAAAAACCTTTGCAATATGGATTTTATAATTTGTAAGGAAAAATTAGGCTGTGAATTTGAAGGGGAGTACAGAAAGGTATATGCGAGTTTGGAGGCAGAAAATGAAAGGGAATAGATTCCTGAGTGCATTCCCAAAAGAAATAGAATCATTATCTTGAAGCAGAAGCTTTATCACCTGCTTTGTGCTCTTTTTCATAATAGCCTAGGTTTAGAAACAAGTGGCTGTGGCTAGATGAATGGATGAAGGTTATATGTATATGTAGATATAGATGTATATGGTGGAATGTGATGGAGGAAGGTCATTGGCAATAAAGAAACTGCTTGGCTGGCCCTGATAGGTTAAAAGATAGGTGGCAGGAGTAAACAGGAGGAAGAGGAAGTGAGGTCAGACTCTGCTCTGCTCCCAGACAGACCCATCAGCTCTGCTCTCTGGAGTAGAGACACCATGCTCCGCTCTCCCAATAGCTCTGTTCTCTGAGGCACACGCGATGAAGCTCCGACCCAACATGGACATAGGTTAGAATCTTCCTGGTAAGCGCACCTTGGGGTGCTTACACACATTATTAGAAATGGGTTAGAACAATATGTAAGAGCTAGCCAATAAGAAGCTAGAGTTCATGGGCCAAGCAGTTCTTAAATGAATACAGTTTGTGTGTTGTTATTTCGGGCATAAGCTAGCCAAGTGGCCGGGGTGTTGGGGACGCAGCCCCGCCGTTCTTATTTCAACAGGAATGTGTTCTCCATGAATATCATTTGCAATAACATGGTTGAACCATGAAGACATTATGCTACTAAAATAGAGAAATCATAGAACATAATTGTACAGAATCTAAATTTGTTATATTATTTTTATTGTATTTACACAATTGTCATCTTTTGTGTGAGTGTTTTGACTGCATGCATGTATGTGTATTATTTGCATTGCTGGTTTCCACAGAGGTCAGAAAAGGGCATTAAATCCCCTGAAACTGGAATTTCAGATAGGTGTGAACTACCATGCCTTTGCTGAAGCCCTAATCTGGGTCCTCTGGAAGAGCAGTAAGTGCTCTTAACCGCTGAGACTTTTTTCCAGCCCTCAAATATTTTTCTTAAAAACATAGTAGAAAGGTGGTAAAGCAGTGAAGAGTGGGAATTATTGACCAGAGCATATAAATGTTCAAAGTTACAGATGAATAAGTCCAGAAGTCATAACATTTAGCATGGCGAACATAATTACTATGCTTTGGGTCCTTTAGATTTGTGAGGAAGATAGATCGAGCATATTCTTAGACACCTGTGTGGGGTGAGAGATATGGCCATTAGCTTGTTTGTGGTAACCATTTCACAATGAGTAGGTATCATTGTGTATCACAATGAGAACAGCATCACTCCTATGTACTTTCAATATGTACATTTTCATAGATTAAAAAATTACACTATAGTTACATCATTTGGTCCATTTCCATTGATCCTTCAGTCACTTCTACTTTATATGTATATGATAGCTTAACAGAGCTCAGGAGTGGAGATCTAAGCTTATCACTAATTCTAGATTTCATGAATTCAATGTGACTCCTTATTTCTTTTAAGTAGATATAGATAAGTTGAAAGATTCACTAGAAAAAAATCCTCCTACTTCAAAACTGTTTGTTTTCTATATTAATTAAGGGGCAAATCTATCAAATACTAAACTTACTTTCCAGAGACCAATATAGTAACATTTATCTAGAATTTAATGGACTCAAATTTAAAACTTTATTAAACCATTTGTTTTTATTCATATTTGTTGCTTTTCTTTGTTCTTTTCAATCTGTTAATGTACATCAGTTGTTTAAATATTTGAGAAAAAATGTTCCTTTGCCTTAATGGTTGGTGGTGTGGAAATTAAGATCCTGACTTACTCCTGAAATCACTAGTAGAATAAAAGCTTTAAACTATCTCTGATTCTATAATCTTTATGTGCTCTCCCCCTCTCCTTTACTGTGAAGGTCATGGGCAGTGTAACTGTGGACGATGTGACTGTAGAACAGGCTGGTATGGGAAGAATTGTGAGCACCCAAAATCCTGCCCATTGTCAGCTGAGGAGAGCGCCAGGAGGTGCCAGAGCGGCTCTGAACTGCCTTGTTCTGGAAGGGGTGAGTGAAGCCAATTGTCATGTCTTGTCATTCTTCCTAATAATGTGTGGCAAATGGATGCCATCCTCATGCATCTTATGAAGAAGGTGACTGAGGTCACTGAAAGAAGAAATATTGTTGCTTTTTCAAAACTGGTAAACTCCATTGAGATCAGTAAAATTTCTGGACAAATACGATCCGTCTCTCTCTGTCTCTTCCCTTCATGCAAGTACACATGCACACATGCACACACATACACACACACAATCTTCTCTACTTCAGGTTATTCAATTCCAGTTTAGCTTCATTCAGTTCAATACATTAAAAACAACAAAAACAGAGTTGAGATGTTTGCTTAAAACTTTCTGAACTTGAGCTTCTAATTGCTCAGTGACATTTATGAAATCCAATACCATCATTTTTTTGGTATTGTTCACTTGGTAAAGCATTGTATAAACATGCATGAATAAGCTGCCCCTTTAGAAGACATTTAGCCTCAGATTTTGTTTTGCTCTCAGATCAGGAAAAAATTCAGGATAAGGAAAAAAATTCATCTGGAAGAACAGTCATTTTAATACATCAAAATAAGAACTATGAACTCATTCCTTCCTTGAGAATAACAAAGTCAGTCTGATACATGCTCGTAGAGGAACTGGTTCATAGAGGCTACAAAAAATTTGGTCTAGGGTAGGAATTAGGGATTTGAATTTTAGATGAAAGAATGTGATTTTCTTGTTATATTGTTCATTAAAGTGCTTTTTTATTAAGATATAATTCATATAACATGAAGTTTCATTTTTGGTATTTAAAGCCCTGGTATTTTATATAATCACAGAATTATAAAGCTGTAGTAAATACTAATTATACACATTTTATGCATGGTTTAGTGGGGTATGGGTAGGAAGATTTTAATCTCGGAGATACTTCTGAATATCCCCATATTTTAGCCATAACCCAGACAGGAGACTTGGCTCCATCCAATTTAAAATATTTTCAGGTGGAGATGAATAACCCTGTCAGGATTCTGGAGTTCCAAGGGTTGAAATTGTACAATCCCTCAGACAACTGTCACCCACATTTTCAGTCAGCAGCCAGGTGCTGACATGACCTCACCATCTTCTCTCGTGAAAGTTTCATCATTTTGCTCTGAGATAGGATTGAGTGTGGGAGGCTAACCCCTGTAGTGTTCCTGCTTGTTTATTTTTAAATGTCAATATTTTTATCACTCTACTATAATAATGGAGATTATTCCAAAGGGAAAATCTTGAGAGAAATAAAAAATAACCTCAAATCAAAATCTATTTTATTACTGAGAACTATTTTCCAGGTGTTTTTGCTCTAGAAAATTAAGATGAGTTTTGAGATTGTTGTCAGATCTCAAACAAAGGACAGGGACCTGTATGTATGTTGAGAATTTAAAGAATTTTTTTTATTTTTTTTTATTGAAAAAAAAAAAATTCA